GGCAGAATGTGGAATAGTGTGTTTTTGTCAATCAAATAAAAAAAGAAAATTGTGTGTTTTAATCCGATTAATCGAAAAAATAACCGATTACCAAAATAATCGTTAGTTGCAGCCCTATTATGAAGTGCCTTGTAAATAAGGAGCAAGATCTTGAATTCAACTCGATACTTTACTGGAAGCCAGCGCAACTGCTGAAGAACTGGAGAAATAAAGCCAAGGTAACACTCATTTTACATGCAGCACATGAATATGGCTCAAGTCAAAACTGGCCACCACATACGCCACGATGTTTCGGTATCTATATGTGACCCTGGAGCACGAAACATGAGCAGCACGGGTATATCTGTAGAAATAGCCAAAAATACATTGTTTGGGTCCAAATGATCAATTTTTCTTTTATACCAAAAATCATTAGAATATTAAGCGAAGATCATATGTCCCATGAAGATATTTTGTAAATGTCCTACTGTGAACATACCAAAGCTAAGAACTTCATCTGGTGATTTTCTCAATATGGACACTTTTTTTGCACTCAGGTTCCAGATTTTCAAACTGCTGCATCCTAGCAAGCCACACATCAATGGAAAGCTTGTTTATTCAGCTTTCAGATGCACAAATAGGCTAACCGAGACTTGTCATTTGCACTTATATATTGTTGCTCTTTTGTTAGTTTTGACTGCTTTTATTGTCCTCATTTGTAAGTCGCTTTGGATAAAAGCGTCTGCTAAATGTAAATGTAATAAAACTGGAGGAAATTAAAGAATGTTTTGGGTATTTAAAAGATAATCGATCTCCAGGTAACGACGGACTTCTAGATTAATTTGATAAAGTCTTCAGGGCTAAATTTTGCAGTATATAAAGAATCTATCGATAAAGGAGAGTTGCCAGACTCATTAAAACAAGGGGTTATTACTCTAATTCCAAAACCACAAAAATATACTCTTCACTTAAGACGACTGGAGGCCTATTAGTCTTTTAAATAATGATGCCAAGGTTTTTGCACATATATTTGCTAAAAGATTGAAACAAGGTTTAGATAACATTATTGATGAAGAACAGACTGGATTTATTCAAGGATGACATATTATAATCCACCATGTCTAAAAATCAGTCTAATATTGTTACTAATGAGTACATATCAGATAATAGTCTTATATTATTAGTTGTTTTCCCTAAGGCTTTCGACACTATAGAACATGATTTTTTTTGTTTAAAATTATTGCATTTTTCGGATTTGGCAAGTATTTTTTAAAAGCTGTTAAAATATTATACAAAGGATGCACTAGTTTTGTAAATGTGGCCCAAGGTGTCAGGGTTCTGTCACTTCGGTCTGGTTTATTCATGGTTTTGTGACAGAGCCCTGACACTCCCATCATATCATGCTTTTATGTGAGCGCGTGGCTTCGAGTGTGCTCGAGTGCGCTCTCTTGTCTGTATGCCTTGTTTCATGTTGGAGCGTGGTGTTCGGATCCCGGCACTCATGTCTTGTTCAGATTCAGTTTGGGTTTGGTGTCGGGGTTCGGACACTCGCGCTACATGTACTGTTTTGTTGTGGGAGAGTGCGGTCTCAAGTTCGCTTGGGCCATACGCTCTTCTGTTCTCATGTCTTGTGTTGTTGCACGCAGCTCGTGTTTTTGGCTGTGTGCTTTCATGTTACGTCTTGTGCTGTGTAGCTCACAGTTTGTGTTGTTCATTGGCTGCATGCTTTGTCATGTCATGTCTTGTGTGAACATGCGGCTTCTCATTAGCTGCATGTTCATGTCTTGTTTTGTTCAAGCACATGGCTTGGTCTGAAAGTACATCAAACAACACTTTTGTGTTCTTCTGTGCCACCTCTACAAATTATTTTTGTTAATACTGATTTCATTTGATTTTTAACTTGTTTCTTATTCTACTCTTATTCTGTTGTTAAGCTTATAAAATATAATTTAAGAATTTGACAAAAGATGACATACTTTTAATAAAGTTAGAGGAGTCAAATATTACCTCGTAATGGGAAGGCTACTTTTTGATAACATTTTGGATTATTGATTAGAAGGTGCTCCTAAAATTTTGAACGTGCTCCTAAATTTTTTAAGTTAGGAGCACAAGTGCTCCTAAAAAGAAAAGTAAGCGTCGAGCCCTGTTATGTTTGCAGTCCTGTGCCAGTTCGTCGTCGTATTTACCCTTGTGGTTTCCTGCCTTGTCCTGTCTTGCCTTGCCAATCTTGTTGCCTGCCTGTTTTCCCCCTTCGGGGTAGTTTTGGTTTGCTTGTTTTGTTTTGTTTTGTTTTATTTTAGCATTAAATAAAGCCCATTCTCCTGCACCATTGAGTCCTCGCTCCATCCTTCACCCCATCCCTGACAGAACCAACTGGCCACGATGAGGACTCAGCGGAGGAAGGGCTTGCGCCATCCGCCTGTCTCCACTCTCTCCAGCCCCCTCTACGAATGCATTCTCCGTTTCAAGGGCTTGAGCTCCCTCCTGCAACAGGGGACTGACCTGAGGAAGTTTGTTGAACCTTGAGTTCAGCAGTGCAGCAGAGGGCTTGGGGTTCAATGATGTGGCTCTCAAGGACTTGTTTAATAATGCCCTCGATGAGCCCTCAATTGGGGAAGAATGAGGGGGCTGGACCACCTGACGTTCGGGGATTTGTGGAGTTCCTGGCACGTCCCCCAGCTAAAGAGGCTGCAGCGCCCCCCTGTGACAGCTGATGATGCTGCAACGCCTCCAGAAGTGGCGTCCAAAGAGGCTGCAGCACCCCCGGTGGTGACTGAAGAGACTGCAGCGCCCCAGTGGTGGCCGAAGAGGTTGCAGTTTCCCCGGAGGTGGCCGATGAAGCTACAGTGCCACACTCTCGGAAACGGAGGATGAGGAAGAAGGCTTCTTCCGTCCTTCAAGCCATCCCAGAGCCGCCCAAGCTTCTTGCCCTGCTGGCTCTACCCTTGATGGGGGGCTCCGTCCATGTGTCTTGCCCTGTCAGCGCCTCCCAAGCTCCTCGCCCTGCCGGCACCACCTAAGTCCCTTGGCCTGCCAGAACCACTCAAGCTCCTTGCCCTGCCAGCTCCATCCTTGATGTCGGCTCTGTCTTTGATGCAGGCACCGCCCTTGCTGCCTGCCCAGTCGGCTCCACCCTGGTTTTCAGCCAGGACTCCAAGACCGCCGGAGCCTCTCTGGTCCGTTCCTCCGGTCCCACCCTGGCCCTCAGCCAGGATTCCTGAACTGCTGGAGCCTCGCTGGTCCGTTCCTCCTGTCCCACCCTGGCCTTCCGCCAGGGTTCCTGTTTGGCTGAAGCCTCGCTGGTTCATCCCTCCGGCTCTGGAGAACGTTGTTGTCCATCCAACAGACAACAGCGAGCGACGTCAAAGGTGCAGAACAATCAGACACGCACCTGCCACTCATGGTCAGGAGACAGTGGTGGCTCTCGGGCTGCTGGTTGCCTCCAGGAGTGGTTGTGGTTCCATGGTGGATGTTGTCAGGTAATGTGCTGTGGTGATGTAAGCTGTAGCAAGGTGTGGGTGCTCAAGCTTGTGCAGCAGGTGCCAAGGCAGTATCACCAGTCATCCTGAAGTGAGTTGGTCTGAGTCAGATGGTTGTTTGTAGGTGTTGTTAGCCAGTAGGCTATCCATGGTACCTGTGGTTTGGAACAGCTGGGTTGGACTCTCACTGGTGAGAGTGCAGGTGGTTCCGGGGGTCGCAGGAAATTTGTATGTTGTAGTGTGAAGAGATTTTTAGACTGACCTAGTGATGGTGACAGGAGGGCAGCAGGTGGTTGTTAGCCCTCTGTG